GCTTAGGCATTGGTCAGTCAGAGATTTAGAAGGGTTGTGCAGAAGGTGTTTTTCCTGTTTATCTGGAGCATTGGTGTTTGGTGTTTTTTATTTTAAAAGCTACTTGTATTTATGGAGCTCCCCTCATCCCTCCCTCTGTCCCTCTCTCTACATCATCCTTCCTGTGCAGTCCTCTTTGAAATCATGCCAGCATCCTCATAGGCAGGCTTGGGCCAGTTTCCAAGAGAGCTCCATTAGCTTGACCATGTAATGAAAAATATTCTTTTAATTGTAAACTTACAACAGCAAGTGAGAAGGAAGCAGCAGAAACAGCACGTTGGTAGCTGGAAGAGTTTATCCTGATGAGAGTTTCTTGCAAGAGGAGTGCTGCAGCCCAGAGCCTTGCTAGTGGGGCAGAGGGCACTTTAGAAAAGAGGTACCTTGTGCTGCTGTTCTGGTTTCCTTTTACAAAAGGGAAAGACTTAAAGAAGTAGGGAAGATGTTCAAGTCAGTCTTTGCACTTCAGATTGTTAGTCCAATTCCTGACTGTTGAGTGTTTCAGCAGCAGAAAGTATTTTGAAGTGGGAAAAACAAGGTTATGAAAGCTCTTAAACTCAAGGCTGAATATTGCTAACTTGCTGTCTTAAAGTTACGCAAATTTGTGATGTATTTTTAAGTGGTTAGGGCAATAGGATGGACTAATGACCTGCAAAGATGCACTTAAATAATTTCTCAAAACCTGTGATTTTTTTAGCACGGAGAGCCTCAAAAAAATGCCCTTGTTTCCTTTTGAGGTTTTTTTTTTCCTCCTTGTTTCCTCAATAGTCCTCTTTAAACCATTATGCATTTTTGTTATAAGATTTCAGGAAGTGTACATGATTGTCACAAGTGACTGATGGTTTGGTAGACAATGGAGTATTGGGTTCTGAGACTTAAGGAAAGAAGTTGTTGGCAGCTATCATGAAAAGCAATTTAGATGGACGAAGGTTTGGGAAGGTGAGTTGCAAAGAATCTGGTGTGGAGCTGGCAGAGATGTCTTCTGGACTTGGACTCAAAGTCATTCCTTCAGTTAGTAGACCTTATTTCTGCCATTATAAAAATAGAAAAAAGCTGTGAAAAGCTTGGTGGCTTATTTTGGAGAAGTAGTAGTGATTTTGAGATACAGAACCTTACATGAATCTCCTTCTTCCTGAGTACCTGAGTGTGCTGCGCTTACTGATTTTGTCTAAGTTTTTGCTCAAGTTTGTGGAGGATAACTAAGCTTAGGGACTGGACCCCAGCTCAGTGGCTGATGACGCATCATTCTAGAAAAGCAGGAGGCAATTTCAACAGAATGCAAGCTTTTGAGAGGAGTTCCTGCTGTGCATTGGGACCTTAAAACAACAAAACACTTCAGAAAGTGTATTCATCCAGCCACCTGTAATAATTTTGCTGTTAGCTTTCCTTCCTGTCCTGAACCTTGACGTAAAGAAAGTTGCCAGAGGTTAAATGGGACTAGTAGAGTTGGTGTGACAGGACTGTGCAAAGTGGTTTTGAGGTCGGTATATTAAAAACCATGTGTGTTCTGCCCTGCAGCAGTGTTGTAATAACTTCGGTAGGCAGGAGCAGGGAGGAATAACAGGGTTTCCAGGAGGCAGTTTGTTTCAGAGAAGCTATCTTCTTTCTTGATTTATTTTTTTTCCCCACTCTTTGTAAAATCCTACTGCGTGATGTGACTGTCCAATAGGTTTTCTTCTTATTCTGTGCCTATATGCATGAATATTCAATTATTAAACATGAACAGCATGCTTCTGTCCTGTCCTTCAGCCTTACTTCCCACTCTCTACACAGTGGGTCCAGCAACAAAGAAGGAGTTTTCATCCCTTGAGACCTCTTTGGTACATGTGAAATTTCTCAAACTAGCGTAAAATGATTACTGTCTTTCTATTTTTATTGTTATGTATCTTGTTATTAATTGACCTTGGTCTCTGAATATCAATTAAGCTACAACTTTCCTTATAGAAGACTTGGTGTATCATCTGTTTGAAGACGATAGTGCTTGAATTTCTCACTTCATGTGTGTTGTGAGGGATATTTTGCTGAAACATGGGCTGTAATGCCTGACCTCTCCTTTTGAAGGGATGCTGCATCCCCAAAGCTGCTTCTGCAAGTTCTTGTCAGTCTCTTGCTTAAATAAAATTTAAGTGTCAGGTATGTTAATGAATGGGATCATCCCATGTGCAGGCATTTCATAGTATACTTTCTTGCAAAGGTGATGTGCACTGTAAGCCACACGTGGGCCAGGCTTCGGTGCTTTTAGTCAGGCTGAGCAATGTCTTTATGTAGCAGAAGCGTTCACAAATTAAGTGAGATTGCTCATAGGGTAGGTGCAGTTCACCATGAATAAGAGTTTCTGGAGCTGGCCCTTATTTATGAGTCAGTTGAGGATTTCTGCTTGGTATTAATTAGCATCTATGGATGCTGCAGGTGCATGGCATATATATCAGAGCAACAATGTGTTCCTGCCTCATTGACGTTTGTGGTAGCTGGAGGCTTGCATCCTTTAAACGTACCATTGAGGAGGCATTTTGTGTCACAACCTCTAAGAGACTTCCTCATGCTAAACACCACTAAGGACTGGGATAAATTCTGGTGCCACCTGTTCTAAACATATATGCTGTAAATGTCTGATTAACATTTAAGCTAATCAGCTATTTTTAGATGTTGCTTAGAGATACTGTGATTCATATGGGAAATCTTAGTTTGATAGTGTAGAGGTGAGATGCAATGACTAGTTAACAAACCCAGATAGTGCTTCAGCAACAGTCTGATCAGGGAACTCGGAAATCTCTGAGCCCATCAGCTGGGCAGAGTTGCTGACCCAGAGAAGCTATGTCCTGCTTCCTGATAACTATGTGTGAGTCTTTGTGTGCCCTGATACTAAATTTATCCCAGTTCTAGCGAGTTGCTGGATTCACTACTTTTTTTGACCCAGATAATTTTGACTACTGATTCATATTTATTATTATGCTGTTGTGGTGAGATAAATTGTTTATCCCTGAAGCTGTTGGTCTGGTGTCTTTTACCAGATCCTGAACCTGTAACTCAGTTGGGCTGTCTTGGTCCTCCACAAGTGTTCATAATGATTATGCTGGAAGAACTTTGCATCATAGCAGAGTCATTTAGGGTTTACCTTAAATGGGAGTTACATCTGATGGGAAGAATAAATTAGTTGAGCAACCAAGTGAGGCATTAGAAAGCTCTTTGAAACAGTGTTTCTGTCCCAGTAAAAGTAATTATTGTGCATTAGATGGTAATGGCTCAACTGTTCAGCAATGACATTGCTCAGCTGAGTAATAGCTCGGTATACCTCTGAGGATGGTGTGTGCCTTGTGATCTACAAACAGAGTAGCCCTTGCTCCAAGACTGTAAGTTTGGTGCCCCTTGGAGGGGTTTGGTACTCTGGCATATCAAATAATTTTTGTGTAGCACATCTTGAGTGTTTCTCCTAAGCACTGAACTGTAATAAAACTGATGGACATTGTGCTTTTAGTAAAGCTGAATAAAGCAGTATATGATTGCTATTCATTTCCATTCAGTTGACTAGAGACTGACAAGAACTCTGCAGCGTTTCAGCGACTAAAAAGCAAGAGGCTTAACTCCATTTTCAGTGTGGACAATCAAATTTATTTGATTGTACTTAAGAGAGTAGAGCCATGCTTTTTCAAGTGGTTTGTGTTTTGCAGACATGTTTTTGCTGGGATTGTTTTCTGCTCCTCCATCCACTTTAGGGCACTGATGTAATCTTACTCAGTTGGAAAGGAACTGAAAGGATCACTAAGAACAAATTTTACCTTGAATTTTAGAAAAATGGTAATTTAATTTGAGGTGTGGAAGTGTCAGTGGAAGAAAAAGGTGTTCCCTGATGCTGCATTCCATCTGCTTGGAATATTAGCAATTAAATTCAGTTTTTCTTTAAGGATCTGGTGTGGAAACAACACTTTCACTTCATTGTTCAGCCTCATGGTGAATGGCTGTGTAGGACACTTACCACTGAATAGCTTACCAGAGGGGGCTTTAATTTGATTGTCCTTTTTAGGCAGGCTTTTGGTGACAGAGTGTGTAGTGGCTGATCCTTATTTTCCTTTGTTTCAAGCATGTTAATGGTGTGCTCCACTGCCTTACAGTGTGTGTATTTCACTTTAAGCTTGCAAAGGTAACCTTGCATCCTGCACAGCCAGACACAGCCGTATACCAATATTGTGTTTTGGTACCTTTCCTCACTACAGCTCTGTTCTCTTTTTCTGAAGGGTTAGCAAGCAGAAGTGTTTCTCAGTGAGAGAGACTCACTGGAAAGGAGCTTTGTCCTTTGTGAAGATTATCATTGTGTTAACAACTAAACTTAAGCTAATGTACCTGTGTGTGTTAAATTTAACAATTTTTCCCCTATAAGAAGTAATATAATTGTTCATAAGGAGAGCTGCTGTCCCAGCTCTTCTGTTTTTCCTACTGAGTGCTTTTCATTAGTTTCTCTTAACTTAAACTAATACTTTACAAAACAAACAAAAAGGCACTAAAAATACCCCAGAACCATATCGTACTGGTTAAGGATGCCGAGAAGAAGAGATAGTATTACAGCTTAGAGCTTGAAAAGTTTCCAGGAAAGAGCTCCTTTCCATAAAGGAATGTTCTGTGTTTTTTTTCCCAACATCTAAATATTCATTTTTGGCAGCAGCAAAGATCCTGAAATGTTGGGTGTCAGGGTGTTTTTTTTTGTTTGTTTTAAATAGAAATGTCTTAATCTACTTATTAGGAATGACTGAAGAGAAATAAACTCCTATGGCAGGAAGTGGGAAAGGAGGGTATGGAGGCGGTCACTGGAGTTCGTTTGTACGAACTGGAGGGTATAACCAGCTACCAGATGGGGATACCTCCATAGCAAAAATAGCATTTTTTGTCATTCTTTAAAAAAATATATGGGCTTCACTGTCCCAGCAAGGAAACTTGAGAGGGCTGTGCCCTTAACTGGTGTTGTTTCTTAGCCTTTGAAGATGCTGACAGTGCTGTGGATGATCGAGACAGCGACTATCGCAGTGAGACGAGTAACAGCATTCCTCCTCCATACCATACAACTGCGCAGCCCAATGCCTCTGTGCACCAGTTCACTGCACCTTCACGCCTGCAGCAGCAAGGGGTCTTGCGAGAATCCTGTGCTGACTCCCTACAAAATTATGATCTGGATTATCGGGAGCATGCGACCATCAGGTGGGTGCTGTCTTCCACGTAGCTCTTATTTTCCCATTGATTTTCCACAGCAGACCCTGAGGATGCCGTGCTAGCAGAGCAGGGTAGCTCAAGGGCTCTGAAAGGCTTCTGATGGGAAGGTATTACATGTTGTATTAGCACTGAGGCTCTGCTGTGAACCAGGAAAAACCTATACGGCTATGTGTTAACGCCGCATCCAGCAGTTTAGTGAATTACCTTTTAAAGATACAGTCAACTCTGAGGTCATTTATTCTTGGTTGTAATTTCACCTTACCTTTTGAGGCCAGAGCACTGGGTAATTGGTTGCTCTAGAACCACTGCATGGGTGTGCCTCCCAACACAGTGAAACACGGTCTGGGAGAGTTGTCCTACTAGGAGTTTCGTCCTTGGGGCAGATTTATTTTTTGATCCAGATTAGCTCCTGTTCTTCTATTAGTTCTGCCAAAACAGCATATTCAAGAAGAAAGTCTGTAAGCAATTAGTTCTGGTTTTTCCTGTTATCGTGTAGCACTGTTCAATAGTGTGTTTTCTCTTTTGGCTTTCTTTGAGCTGTGGGAAAGATAGTTTACTTGCTTTAAATGAGCTTTTTAACCATAAATCAGTAGTTTCAGAACTACTTTTATCTTCTTAAGTATTAAGCATTGCCGCCTTAGCTTACCAGGATCAATGGCTGTGAAGTAGAGATGCCTGTACTGGGAAATGTAGAAGCTTTACAAAACCACTATTCCAAATAAGGGATGAATTAAGTGTAAAGGAAAGCAGAAGAGATTGGACAGTGCTGGTCAGCTTGGTAAGAGTGGGTGTTTAGAACAGGTCATGTTGCTGCTTCTGCCTTTGGTGTGGAGGGAAGAGGCAGTTGCTTAAACACTGTCATGGTTAGAGATGCAGGATTTTATGTGTGTTATAACTGATTTGTTGTACTTTATCCCCCTTGACAATAATGTTCTTGGTTCCTGAAGCCTGAAACTGCATTCAGTTGTCCTCATGGGTGTATGACTGAGGCTAGATTTTACTCCTTTTGCCTTATGGTCCTTAATGGTAAAAGCTGAAGTTTAATGGTAACATTTAATGTTGTTACTGTTACAGAGATTTCAAGCAGCAGAGGCAAATGTGCCAAAAAAAAAATGCATTTACTGCAGTGTGACATCATTCTTAGTGTGCTCTGTTCCTAGTCCATTAAATATGTAAGCAAGTTATTCCCTTTCCCATGCTATTCTGTGCTGCTGGCTTGCAGTGGTAGAATTGCTGAAGATCCTACTGGGAGTCTGGAAAGATGAGCTGAATCTTTTTTTTTTTTAATGGAAGAACCAAGCTCAACAGTGGTATTGGGCCCCCAGCCTGGAAGCCAATGGTGGCTGGCTGTTTTTGCAGTTATGTGACTTCTTGGGGTGGTGTTGACAATACAATTAATCTTGTGTGAACCTCTAACTGTGTCTAATGGATAAATGCCTTTGTAAGGCCTTCCAAAGAAGCACTTCTGGTTTGAATTGTTAAAGAATACCAAGATGGAATGGTGGTTTGTTTTTTGGTGTGATTTTTTTTTTTTCTGATTTCCTGGAAATATTGATATGAAAGGATTGGACTGATAAAATTTACTTTAAAACTGAGATTTGTAGTCTGCTCTGGTCTAAAATTACTTTCGCTTCAGGGAGGCAAGTCCTAGATGGTGATTGATTCCCTAAAAAAAGCATTCCTGGTCCCATGTGCATTTTCCATGTGCCCAGGTAGATTTTTTGCTACATATTTAATGTTTAAAACTTGGCAAATGCAAATAAGCTTTCAAAAAAAGCTACGTGGGATTCTCTTTCTTATCAGAAAGGTCTTTCTAATGAGACCTGGCTGAAAAGAAGCATGTGGGTAGATCTTAAATATTTTCAAAACACTGCTGTAACTGAGTATTACAAAACAAAACTGTGTTTGACTTTTGCTCCTAGCAGCTATGTGCTGTGGAACCGGCAGTTACCTGATGAAATCAGTGTTCCTTGCGGACTGCAGTTGGTGATTGCTGAGAAAATGGCAGCTTGTAGGAGGCTGTCCCGGGCAGATTCTAGATTCTGCTAGAACCTGTCTTGGATTGGGCAAAAAGTTGTCTAGGCCAAAATGCTTCAATTTAAAGTGTCTGTACTAACACCTGAGGCTTCTTTTTTTTTTTTTTTTTTTTTCCACAGCATTTGAGTTTGGCTGGAAAAGTTCTGGTCCTCTTTATCAGCTGTTCCATGTAATCGTGTTCCTTTGATAGAAGTACATATATTTTATTCCCCCCTCTCCTGAGGATAACAGGCATTATTCTTGTTTGTCGTTGCAGTGTGTTTTGCTGCCAGCAGCCAGTTTGGTTTCAGAATAGCAGACATTTTCACCTCAGAATTTTTTTTGTACTAATGTTTATTTGCAGTGTTCATTTTGTGTAACCATGTGTCCTCCATGTCTCCCTGCTCTTGCTCTATTTACTTCCAAGGCGATATGGTAGCATAGATTCCACTGTGAGTGGCCGAACTGACCTAGAGTCCGCATCTGAGTCTAGTCAAATGACCAGCCGCCAGTGCTCAATAGAGAGCAGGCGCTCTCGAGAGCTGTCTGATAGGTGGGTTAACCTCTTTGCAGCCTGTGTGCTTGTCTCATTGCTGTTGCTGCTGTGAAGTGGTCTTGTAATACATTCCAGCTGATACGCATTGCTTGCCTTGGCTCTGTTTCTGATCTGTGGTTGTTCAATGCTGGGCTGATGTTTTCATCTTTTTCTCCTCTCGGGTGTTGGATTTCTTGTCATTGCTTTATTTCTAGTAAAAGGAATGCTTTGTAGAATGGCAGGGGATGCACTTATGGGGGAGAAGCTCGATTAGAAAGAGAAGTAATTTCCTTTATGCCCAAATTAGTCAATTGTTGGTTCATTTACAGCTAATGGCTCTTCAGGCATTCATGTAGCTCCCGTTGCTTCCAGCTGAGATTTGGAAGGGCTTTATCCAGTAACTATGGTGGCCCTGGAAGTCTTTTAAATTTCCTTAGCTTTTTAAAGATAATTATTTCAATTACCGGGTTAAAATTGCAAGCAAGAAATGTAGTAAGTGTTCTAAACTGTATACAATAGGGCCCATTTAAAGTAATGAGTATCTTTCCAGTTAGTGTAAAGTTAGCTAATAGTGGTGGAAATGAAGCACTAAGCCAGCAGTAGTGAAAATGCAATGACCTATTTCTGTTTCAGGGCTATCCTATCAGTATCCTGTATTGGGGTGCCCCAGGCAGCTCTCAAGGTGAAGACTCTTGTATTAGCAGTATCCATACAATGGCCGGGGGCCCTGTGCCCTTTCCCTTCTCTTGCCCTTCTCTTACGGGGTCAGGGCATGCATGTCCACATGCTACTTACTTCTCAACAATGAATGAAGTGAGACAAAGCTGCAGTGCATCTTTGAGACGAGCATTCTGATTTTTTTACATCCACTTCCTACCTGTTTATTTTTATGTGGGCTGGCAGGAACTCTTCTTGTGAAATTTAGATAAAGAGGAAGCTTCCTTGCTATTAGCCTTTGGGTTGCTGAAAAATTGAGATGACCCTTCTCATCAAGGGCTAAGAACTAATCCCAAAATTCCAAGGGTTATTTACTTGGATTTCTAGGAAGCTTCAGATTGTTTGATAGTGAAACACTAGTTTATTTAATCCATTCTCCCACAATTGACAAGTAGAGATTGTTGGATTTATTTAGATGCTTTATAAATGGGAAGTACAGATCCTGAAAAGCATCTGAGGCTTACGATGGGCTAATATCCATTGCCTATGCTTTGTTCTGCCTTCTGATCCGGTAACAGTTCTGAGGATCTTCATTTTGTGTTGATAGTGGCCCAATGAGGGCACTAGCTGCAGTGAGAGCCCTCCCAGCAACGGGAGCAGTGGAGTAGCTGGAACTCCATGTGTTGCTGGTGTGCACAGATTGCATTTTGTCCCCTGCTCCCACTTCCCTGGAGTCCAATGACTCCTGAGTCTTTGCATGCAGTCTCTGCTCTGTAGCCACCCTTGAGAGAAACAAAATGCCTCTGTGCTTTATGAATACTGCTAAAACAAATTCTGCAGCCTAGAGTGACCGAAATGCATGCATAGCATAGTGGAACGGTGTGCGTGGGTACCATATCTCAAAGTAGTCCTGTTACTGTAATAAGTGACTTTTTTCAGCATGCCTAAAAAAGTAACAGCAGAGTACTGGTACAGCCAAGGCTGTGTGCCCTCACTTGATCACAAAAAGCTGTTCTCCTTCAAACAGGCATTTCTAAATTTCGTGCAACTGTAACCAGTGGAATACCATAACTCATGCTGCTTATTTTGATTATTTGATTGAAGTGTGGTGGTAGATTGGCAGGTTTTCAGTTTTGTTATCTTTAGATGTTTCTGATTTTAATTTTCTTTATTTAATGCATGCTTTTTCATTACTATTTTTTCTGTCCTTTCTAGAGCTTTTTTTAAAATTGTATTTTTCCCCTTCCTGTTTTTTTTTTCTTTTTTGCTGCCTCTCCTTTTCTCTCCCACCCCCTTTATTTGTCATCTTAGACAAGGATCTCTAGCTAGAAACGAAAGAGTCAGGATCATCCCATTTAACTCTGAAGATGGAGAAGAAGAACAGGAGAGTAACTACGAAGAGCTGGGAAAACTGCTAATAGAGGAATTCTTAGAAAAGAGTCATAAAAATAGAAGTTGGCAGGAAACAAATATAAAAAAGATGCAAACTCTCTCAAAGAGAGAAAATTTCAATCACTGTGAAAGATCAAAGTGCTACCAAAATGTGTGTGTGGAGTCAGGGTCTGTAGATGTCCCTAGGTATCCTCAGGAATATGATACAATAGATAGAAGAAGGAAAAAGAAGCTACGATACAATTTTGAAGAGAGTGAACAAATAAGCATGCAAACTAATGAAGGTCTGCAGCTTCCTGGGGAGAAAACAGGTTTTTTCAATGGTGTGGCAACTAGTGAACTTAATGATGATTTTCCAGTATATGACAAAACTGGAAAATACACCAGT